AATCCTTTATTAGTCCTCAGTTCCACAATTTAAAAGTTAACCCATACATAGTTTATGGGTCAAATTTGATGCTTTCAGTAAAAATACCCAAAATTGTATTCTCTTAGCTGGAATGACGTCCTTGGCAGAGGGTCATAAAAACACACGAGACTAAGTTAAGTTATAATTTTGTTTATTTGACACAAACCCAGACAGGCTTTTATTTTATTTTTTTACATCTTAGACACAAATTAAAATAGATTTTGGAACACTGCTATAATAATTAAGTGCAAAGGAGTACAGCTCTCTACTGAAAAATACTATTGACTACATCATATACGTTCTATGCTCGACATGGGGAAGGTGTCGCCTGGATGTGAAACTTATCATTGGAATGTTTCTAGTGTGCAGGGATGGTCTGAATGGAAACAGAAAAACTAACAGGAGACACAGTTCATAAAGAAAGTTTCCATGCACACTATTTGGTTAACAAGGCTACTGTGCAGAAGTTGTTGCGTTTAAGACATCGAGCGATATCAATGTGATAGAAATGTCATCAGTTTACAGGCACCGTGAAGATGAGTTTGTACATTCTCAAATCTGGTAACATCTTTATTCTACAGGTCCATCAATTCTGATTCATTTCAAAGTAAATTCTGAGGGAAGTTTGCAAATGATATTTATTCCTAATAAGTAATGTAGTTTGGTAGAATAGAGAGTGATCAAATGGTCCACAGAGGACAGCAGGCAAAAACAAACATCAATTCAAAAAGATTCAATTGTGATAATAAATGAGGATTCTTAAATATKTACTTAGTTTAGAATGGAGAAATATGGTTCATGACTTTATGTGCATTTCTTTAACCAATCTATATGGTACTTTCAAACATTTCAGAAATAATGGACCCTTAAAATAAAATGTTGCTCCAACTCTTCTATGCTCAGAGTTTGGATTTATTGCATCCGCTACAGTCAAATTCTATCAAAATCAGCTGCAATCAAATAAAAAAATGCATGTAAATGATTAATAAATACCCCTGACTTCCATCAGCTGAATCCTGTGAAACTAACTGGAAAGTAACCTGATGCAAACGTCAATGATCTTTAAAGCTCTAGAAAATTCAGCTGAATTTAGCGTCTGAAGAGATAACTACAAAAACTATTTACAAAACCGACAAAAATCCAATATGGTTTGCAAATGATTTTGTTAACTACGTTGCATGACGGCTGAATTACAGTACGTACAATTTCTAAAATCATAAATTAATAGTATAAAACACAGGAATGAGCCTCTTCATGGGGGAATGGGTTCAGTATATTGCCTCTCTGCTTCTTGCTGGTTTCTCTTGATGTAACAAAAAATGGCAGAACATCTTTCCTGATTGGAAGCAGCAGCCTAGCTTATGATGACGACTGACCCACTCAAACTCTGCTGTGTGTAACACATGCGGAGAAGACGGGCAGGACGATACTTGAGAATGAAAGTGTCACTGTTGGACGTGAGCCCAGCTCAGGGCATGCTGCCAGAGCTGAGCCCATCCCTCTCTACAGATATGGACTTGACCAGCTCCTCCACCCAGCGGACCTCAGAGGCCACCTGCTCAGCCAGGGCATCGTAGCGGTTTTCCAGGCGCCCAAACTTGCGCTTGAGGATGTTGGCAGCCTGCATGGTCACTCTGGCGTCCTCCTGGCACTTCTTGCGCTGGGTCTGGGAGCGCTGCAGCTCCTGGCGAATGTGGCCCAAGTCGCTGGAGATGCTCTGGTTCTCCTCCTTGTACCAACCCTCTTTTTCCTCGTAGATGGACAGTAGCGCCGCCACATCCTCTTGGCACGAGCGCTGGTTGCGCTCCAGGTCCTTCAGGCCTTCCTCTGCTGCTGCGATCTCCTCGAGCACCTGGGAGAAGCGCTCGAAGTTGACATAGGTGTTGTTCGGCGGCATGCTGGAGTGAGACTTAATGGTGTACTCCTTCAGACGAGTGGTCTTCAGGCGCCGGCGCTCAGGCTTGTGGTCTCTCTCCTCCTGACGTACGTTTCGCCTCTTAATCACCTGGAGAGTGGGGAAAAAAAGGGGTTTGAAATAATGACGTTAATTTGATAAGATACCACAACTAGTTTGGTACATAAACAAATGTTATGTCTTAAATGAGCTTTTGTGACCAAAGTAACTACAGATCAGAATATCTTGCAGTTATATGCAGTCTATCTCAACACTAAAGACAGAACATGTTTTTTTTCAGGCAGTGTGATTGTAGACTCCACCGAGTTGAACTCCACAAGCCGCTAATGAAGACAGACCAACACTTGAGCATTATGCTCCCTGTGCTGTGTCTTTTAACCTAATTATGTCGACATAAAAGCGTTGATTCTTTCTCAGCAGTTTCAGAATATTAAATGTCTCTGGCATAAGTAAAGCCTTGGTCCTAAGTAAAAAAACAAAAAACACCCACCTTAATCCATGGATGCTGAAGACTGTCATCAATCGGCATTCTCTTCCTTCAAAAGAAAATAATCCCCCAGAGTGAGAAAATTAAAGAGCTTGGGCCTTTCACCTGTTTATAAATGTGCTTTTCTTTTCCTGTTTTGTGGATTAAGTGTGAAGATCTTCTTACTTTGGATCTTTGACCAAAAGGCGGCGTATGAAGTCTTTGGCGAGCTCGCTGGTGTTGCTGAAATACTCCTCGTCAAAGTCGTAGTTGACGCCTGAGATGTTGGTCAGGGTCTCCTGCTTGGTCTCACCCAGAAACGGTGAAGCACCACTCAACCTAACAGAGACAGTTTGATTTACGTCAGTTACAGTGGAGGAGTGCGGTGATTTCAGTTTATACAAATGACAACATGATGTCACTACTCACAGAATGTATGTGATTACTCCGATGCTCCTGGGGAGAAGAAAAGAACCAAACATGAGTGGAAACTATAAACAGCAAAAAGCTTGAGATTGGGGAAAAAAAACATGTTGACATCTTACCACATGTCCGCCTCCAGTCCAAGTGGCTCATAGTTTACTATTTCTGGCGCTGTAAAGCACAGAGGAATGAGAGCTTTAATTCAAACCAGCTGTGGAGATCTGAAGCACACTGATCCTTCTTGCCAGCGTGGGCACAAACGAGCAGGAAAACTGATTTGGGGTTTTCAAAGTGGAACATTGTAACTGTGTGAAATGGATAAGCAAGAGGGGAAACAGGATCTCACCGACAAACTCTGGTGTTCCAAAGATGTTCTTGAACTCGTTTCCTGCTTTTATCTGATGAGCGATCCCGAAGTCGATCAGTTTGATCCTGGGGTTGGGGACGTTCTTGTCAAGCAGCATGATGTTCTCAGGCTGAAAAGTAAAAAACAATGAGGAGGAAGAAAATGATAAACAGAGTATTATGAAAAAATACATTTAACAAGTCCACTTTTTAATCTCCTCTGAGCAACATTAACTTTAATGTGTATTAACCAATGTTAATAAACAAGCCGTCACAACCACAGTGCGCTGACCTTGAGGTCAAAGTGGGCGATGCGTTTGGAGTGAAGATATTGAACGCCATCCAGAATCTGTTTGAGGAACTGAGTGGCCTCCTCCTCCGTCAGAGACTCCTTCTCAGCCAGGAAGTCAAAGAGCTCTCCTCCAGACACCAGCTCCAGGATCAGGATCACGTCCGTCTTGTTTTCAAAGATGTCGTGCAGAGTGATGATGTTGCTGTGCTGAATCTCCCGCAGGATGTTGACCTCTCGCTCTATCTCTTCACGGCTCACCCCCCGCCGACTGGACGACAGCCGCCGCTTCTTTATGAACTTCGCCGCGTACTCGACACTTGTGCTCTTCTCCTTACACTTGCGAACAATAGCGAACTGTCCACTGCAGGAAAACAGAAACAAGAAAATCAATGCTGATCCGTGATCAGTGTTTTCATATATCACCATAGATACTTGGATTTTGGATAAATGTGGACACACACACACACACACACACACACACACACCACACCACACCACACCACACACACACACACACACACACACACACACACACACACACACACACACACACACACACTGTCCTCTCCTTTGCAGAGACGCACAGCAGAGGTGGAAAGGCACATTGAGAGCCAGTGATGTCACACTTTTGCTGCATTACTGCAGAAGAAAAATGGCTAAGATACAAAGTTGAGTATAAGATACAAGTCACTGACAAACTATGAAGCAGTGTCAGCAGGTTTTCAATGTGTGGTTGACAAACGCTTAAATTTGTTTTGGTCCTGTTCAGATCGGAAGTTTAAGATGGACTGTCGTTCACGGTTCAGTTCATGTAATCAAACGGGTCACTTTTGTTTTTATTTAGGGTGATATATCACTTCAATGACATTCATTCTCTGTATATTTTAGGTTTTCAAAGGGTTTAACATGAGCCAGGTCAGTCAACAATGATAGCAATCATCACTTCCATACGGGGTTAGAGGCAAGATACATTATACAAGTTGTAATTCTGGTAAATTCACTGCTAATCGCTGAATCGACAGCCAATATTCAGGAATCAGAATCAGGAAGGGAACATCTCTATTTACAATGTTTTTCCAGAGACGAAAAGCTAATAAATCAGAGCAACATACCTGCCCAGCTCCTCTCCCATCTCATAATACAACTCGACATCCTCTTGCCTGAAGCCAGCCATGATGCGATGGGAGCGATGCCTCGAGATTCACTGCAGAAGAAAAGACAGATGTAAAAACCCGAAAATACTGCAGACAGCACAGTGACCCAAATAACGACGTGGAAGTGGATTTAACTTGTGTTTAAGGCAGAAGTAGCAGCTCCCTCCTGCAGAGTAATTCACATCCTGTCACCTGTGTTTCTTTCCTCCTTATTTGGCCTGAATCAACACAGCTCGAGTTTTCAGAGAGTTTGTGGCTGATGTCAGACCTCTGCATTCCAGAGCCACTGACATCACCTCCTCCCTGAACCATCCATCTCTGACTCAGTTAAAGAGTCTGGAGCTCAGCTACACACACACACACTCCAGAGGACATGTCATTTAAATCTCATGTTATCTGACTGATCCAACGATTAATAAAAAAACACACATGGCTGAAATAAAGTCTGATCAAAGCTCTGGACAAGATGCTGATGTGTAACAGGAAGACAGCAGAGACTTTTTCCTCGTGGATTATCGTTAGCAAACGTAACATCACGTCAGGTTTATGTCACAGACACAAGAGGGAACACGTGTAAAATCCACAACCTGCGGACTTTTTCAATCAGAGAAGAAAACAAGTTATTTAAAATGAAGAAATGAACCCGAGTCCCAGCGACGGAAGGAAGCTAACGCTAGCCGGTGTAGCTACCAAACCTAACCCGAACAAACTGCGGCTCTCGCTAGAAAATAATACGATGGATAGGATTCAAACAAAGTCAATGAGGTTTGTGGTCAAACGAATAAAACTTGGAAGCAAACATTCAGACAGACACTCACCGATCCGTTCAGCTTCGAGAGACACATTCCTCTGTGGAGACCGAGGACCGAGTCAGGAACAAACAGGGGGACGCACAGCTTCCGGTCCGCGTTCAGAGTAAAAGCCTCGCAGATTTAGGGTTTATCTTGGCAGTCGAGTGACAGTAATAATAATAATAATAATAATAATAATAATCACAATCATAATCATACACACGGGCACAGTTTGGTATTAGAAAACTTAATTTAGATACCTCAGGTTTTAGGCAGTGATGTTAGTTATATAAAAGTTTTGAATCATGTGATTTCAGCAAAAACCAGTTGACATATATTTGTATTTGTTAACTTTCGACCTCATGAATCTTTAATACATTTTTGAATATCAATTTAATCCTGCTCAATTTATACATTTCAAGTGTTTTGGTTTTTGCTTGCATTCATTTGTTTATTTTTTCATGTACAGGTAAAATCAGATGTATACACACAGAGTAGCAATGAATTATATAATGTCAGGTGACGACTGCAGCTTTATAGAATATATTTGCATTAATAAAATGATTTTCACTTCCTGAACTTGAACCACATTAGATGCAATGATGCGTAATATTTGAAGTGAAGTCAGTATCACCCAGGAAGCCAAACAGATACATGGTTTAAATACGTATAATGTAATAATCCCACTGATGACAGATAGCAGGCTGAGTTTTCCGTTGTGCAGTGGCCTATGTAGAGTCAGAACAGAAATGTATGGGGTTTTTTTGCAGGCTGCATGTGAGCACAGACTGGAGCTGCAGTTTGTGTTGTGAAGGCAGAGATTGTTCAAGTTCCGGTGTTGTTGTGTGACTTGCTGCAGGTAAAAAGTGCAGCAGAAGGAGGAACATATGGAATGACATCATGCTGAGTGAATCAACCGCTGCAGTACGTCAATGAATAACAAGATCCAGCATGCAACAGCAAAGGTTATAGGATCACTGAAGTCATACACAACACATCTCACAACACTGGGAGACAAATAATAGATAGAGAGTAAACCCAGAGAAAAAACGTCTATTTACTCTATTGTTTTCTGCATCGACTTATAGAGAAGTTAATGGAAGGTAGGGTGTGAGACAATTAAGACGTTCTTTATATGCGAATGAGGATAGTATCACAGAGATCGAACACTGCATAGAAATGACGAGATTATGTACCACACATTAAACACACACGTCACACAAATGAAAAGAACTAGTACAAGCACAATTCAACTTGACCCTGAATAAATATAAATAAATCTATTACATAAATATATTTTTCTCCTGTAATTAATTACCCTTTCACAATATCTGTTGCTGGTCAGAAAACAAGTGTAACATCAAAAAATAACTGTAACACATCACCATAGATACAATAAGCTCAAGTGCTCACAAAGTTCGTGGTTGAAAAGGCCAAAGGTTGCAGATCAATTAGAGGTTACACTGGAGCCTGTTCAGTAAACTGTAATTACAGTGAAAATAGATGTTTGTGGATAGAAAGCAGAGCTGGAGCCTCTCTTCTTATTCCCCGTCTGCAGGGATTCAACATGCTGGGAGTAACCATAACCCACCATCCTATGAATTATAGCTACCAGTGCATATGCAGCACATACACTCTCCAGGTTTAATCATGTTCCCAAAGACTGTATATATGTACCAAACTACTTCCTGCATAAAAAACCCCAGGAAAACTCCTAAATCACCCCAGTGAATAGCAAAACACAGATACATAAAGTAACATAAGTATGTAATAAAAAACATGCACAAAATGTACTGTAAGGTACATTAACTTCAAATGTGTTCTTAAATACAGTATACATGAGCAGAACATAAGAACATGCTTAAGGTTTTATTTTGAAGTGAAACAGACATGCTGAGCTTTTAAAAATGGCAGAAGATCGAGATTCCCATGTTAAACACGCCTGTGCTGATTAAAAACAAACTCTCACAATAAAGCTAAACGTCTAATTTGACTCTGGCTCATTATTATTATTAATCTTATTATTACTATTATCAAGACTTTTATTTTCTCCACATTTTTTTTTTTTGACTGACTCTGACTTCACCCAATCAGAGATGCGCTTACTCCCTCGTCACCGCGCAGCAGCCAATCAAAGCACCCACATTATGAGGTGGGCGTGTCCCGAGCACCAGCTGGTGGGGGTCAGCGCTCGCGGCCAGTGCTCGGTGTCTGATGGGGGAAGCAGCAGCAGCGGCTCGCTCGGCATCATGAAGGTCCCTGAAACTCTGCTATGGGCCGCTCTTCTCGTCCACAAGGTGAGAGACGCCACCGGGACACGTTTACCCGCCTGCGTGCGTCGTGTAGAGTCACCGGGCTGACGCTCCGAGGCGTTTTCTCCAGCCGTTTCCCTCCCCCGTGTCCCCCGCAGTGGCGGTAGTAGCCTGGATGCTACGAGTGTTAGCTAGCGGAGATCACCGAGGGCCCTGGAAACCTTCTCCCCCCACATCTCACCCCGATTCACATCGCCGATTCACCGCCACCGTGTTTACATCATGTCGATCATGACACACCACACCGGGTTCAGACGTGTTAGCTAACAACAGAGAGATTGTGCTGCTTTCTTTTTACGACCTGATGTTAAAATATTTGACTGACGATCATAATGTGTCCGCATCAAATATTCAAAAAACTGAACTTTGACCCACGATGATGAGACGGATCGTGTTTCCACATATTGTCCTCTGATGTGGACCGATGTTTATCAAGATCGACCTTTTCATATCCGTAGATAAATCGATATGTATCACGATACATGTACATTTAGGTCTAGGTAATAAAAGAGTTATAGTGATTATCATAATATACTTTCCAACAATATGTATAGATATATGTACATTTAGGGATAGGTAATAAAACAGTAATAATGATTATCACAATTTACTTTTCAACATTATAACAAGGGTATATTATATATAAGCTTATAATTGGTTTTAATGTTTGCAAAATGTTTCGCCACGTGTCCTAGAGTTATATCCAGATAAACATTATTTATATTGTTACATCATTCCTAATATGAAAACGTTTTAGACAAATTAGACTCTTTGTTTACTGTTTTTACAAAGAGAAGTTTTTCTACACGCTTGTTGTAATCCAGGTTGGAGAAAGTCTGTTGGTATTAACGGTTCATTTCATGGACATGTGGTGTGACACTAACGTTGCTGTCACGTTGACAGGTGGTGGGAGAGTACGGCATGGCCCACATCAGCGACGAGGGCAGCAGCAAAGGAAAGGATTACTGCATATTCTTCAACTCACAGTGGGCACGTCTACCTCAGGACCTTAATAAGGCAGTAAGTGTAGAGGTGTAACCTCAAGTTCACTTTAAAATCATACATACAAATAACTTTGAGATCATTTCACAGACAAACAGAACAGCGGAGATAAACAACAGTACACTCAGATATCCATGTGATCAATACAATTTCTTTGAAGAAGCCTTGTACAGGATGCTATTAGTGCAGATGTTAGAGGACTTTATGACTGATAGTGATATAATGAGTTATAATAATCCACTCCAGAGGAAATGAATGCCTGACTCACAGCCTCTAAATCATGGTTTTATTTTTGGATATTATTTTTTTCATTCGGTAAAACCCCTCAGTCTTGTGCAAGTCTTTAACACGAAGCAGAAATAGTTTGTGTATTTGTCATCAGCAGCGAACCTGCACAATAGACACGGTTCAGCTCTTTTTCGCTGAATCAAGAAGTGTCTTTTATAATATTTGGATCCAGTCGGACGGGAAATAAATAATTCAATGCTTCGTCATTAGCGAGAAATTTTTCCATAACAGATTTTCTACTTTTTCCTGTAGTCGCGTCTACAGATCCACGACCTGACAACATCGGTCCTGTGCTCGGCCTCTGACGTCCCAGAGGAAGGATTCCCTAATCGCATCCCCATGGTGATGCGGGGCAACTGCACTTTCTATGAAAAGGTCCGGCTGGCCCAGATAAACGGTGCCAAGGGTATACTCATCGTCAGCAAGGACCGACTGGTAACCTGAATATAACTTAAAATGTTGTTGCTTCACCTCAGCTGCTCAGAAAACAAAAAAACAATGTTTTTGTTTATCATTCGCTGCAGACACCACCAGCAGGAAACAAGACCCAGTATGAGGAGATTGACATTCCGGTAGCATTGCTCAGCTACTCTGACATGCTCGACATAAGCAAGGTGAGAGGTCGACTAGTTGACATTATATTCATCTATCAGCTTCTCTCTCTGATAGCTCAGTCGGACAGAGATGGAGAGGTTTATAACTCTGTTGTTATCATGAAGCAGATAAACAAAAATACAAAAGCTGAGAAATGTTGACTTGATGTTCTCCTACAGATGTTTGGTAAAGGGAGACTTGTGGCCATGTATGCGCCCAATGAGCCGGTGCTGGACTACAACATGGTGATCATCTTCTTGATGGCTGTAGGAACAGTCGCCATCGGAGGCTACTGGGCCGGCAGCAGAGACCGCAAGAAGTGAGTGGACACGATGTTGGGAGCTGACTGAAATAACTTAATCTAATCTTTTAATTAATGACGTCCAGGAACGCTCTTGTGATGTTCTTCATATGTTAAAGGCAAAGTCTGGAAAAGGTCTGGATCCTATTTAGGTGTGAAAAAAGCTTATGATAAACATTCTTCCATTTATTTAGGTTGTATAATACAGTTTTAGATGAATATTTTCTATTACATAACCAATTAGATTATTTTAAGACATGACCACAAACTCTCTTGCCTGTGCTTACTATGCTTTTTCCCTCTGTGCTGAATTTAATGATTCATTTTTTCTGAGGATTCGTCTCTGGGGAAGATTAGTCATAGTCTTCTTGGCAAAGTAGTACAAGTGTGTTTATGTTTGTGCGCATCTCTTCTATTAAACTGTCTGCGTCGTATCCTTATAACCCCTCCAAAGGGCAGCGTTAGAAGTGACTCATTGGCTTAAGCCAATCCGAGTCCGTCCTTCCCCGTGCAGTTGCCAAGGTGACTGAGGGCACAGTCATATGGGGTCTCTGACGCACAGGACCCATGGGCAAAACATATTTTGGAATACAAGAGTGTGTTTTGAACTCTGGAACGAAGTGAATTTCTGCCAGTCGGCTAAATGATGGTAAATATTGACTGTTGATGGACACAAGAGGCCGGGCAGTCCCCCTACAGACTTTTAGTTTTCTAGGGTTTCAAGAGTTTGTCTTTTATAGATGCTGAGAAATTCTAAACATGATCCCAACGTCCGAAACATCTCGTCTCTCATTTTTCCTGCAGACGTTACATGAAGCACAAGCGGGACGACGGCGCAGAGAAGCAGGACGAAGAGACGGTAGACGTCACCCCGATCATGATCTGCGTGTTCGTGGTCATGTGCTGCAGCATGCTGGTGCTCCTCTACTTTTTCTACGACCGCCTGGGTACGACGCTCACACAGCACATACACACACATGATTGATCTCAACTCACATTATCACAAGGCAGAGTCAGGTGCTCATCAAACATACTGGTTCATGATGAGAGGGGCTGGATCCACTTCTATGAGACCGGTATATTAATGGTGGTTTGAGTTCTGTATTCTCAGTATACACTTGTATGTTTGTTCTTTTCTCATTGTAGCAGAAGCTGCACGGATGATACTTGATGATATTGTTTTCATTGTGCGCCAAATAATTAACCCTGATTGGAGAAACCGTCTCTTACTGAGCCGCCATTGCTTTATTCTCTATCAGCATTGCGTAGTTTAAATCATAACTGAGAACAAGCCTGTTACATCTTGTGTAATGTTTTTCTCAGCAGCTTAGAACCAGGAGTTTCAAATCTTAGACAACAATGTGAGATAAACCTCCTTCATTTAGCTCAATTTTTAAACTCATATTTTTTTATTTTAAACTCAGATATTTAAGGACAGAATTTGTCAAAGAACAAACACACCAGAAAAGTGTATTTCCTTAGTATGAGTGGATATCATGTCATAACAAGCACTAAACCTCCTCCACTGTTTCCTCACTGTAGCCATCTGGGTGATCGCCATCTTCTGTGTGGCCTCCTCAGTCGGCCTCTACAGCTGCCTGTGGCCTTTTGTCAGGAGACTTCCTTTCTGCAAGTGCAGGTGAGACTGTTCACATCAGGGTCGTTACTGGAATCGAACTTCCCAAACGTCTGTTGTCGGCACCTGCCATATTTTCTCTGAAGCTCCATCTAGTTACAAGTTTTTAAAAACGTATTTCATATTCAGTAATTAAGTGTGTTTTTGACATTTAGAATTATAAACCTACAATAATCTGGTCAGAGATGGACATCCGGCCTCGATATTTATATTTATTGCATTTCAACAGTTAGCCTGAAAAAGTCACAAACCTAAAACCTGCCAATAGTTTTTAGGTTTGTGATTGACGCAGTTTTATTTAAAGATTAATGTCTTTTATTGTGGTTTCATTTCTTGATTTGTGGACGTGTTCTGATCACAGGATCCCAGAGAACAACCTCCCGTACTTGCACAAGCGGCCACAGATCCGCATGTTGCTGCTGTCGGCCTTCTGCATCGGAGTCAGCATCACCTGGATGGTGTTTCGCAATGAAGACCAGTAAGTGCACGAGAAAACGGGTCAAACTCCCTCTTCTGCAAATGCACATACAGTATTTAGTGACATGCTCCACAAAACTACTACTATGATTGTGTAACTATGTCAGCCATCTGTGTCGGTCTCTCTCGACTTCACTCAATACTTCAAGTTCAAGAACGCGTGTTCTCTGTTGCTGGTGTTTGTAGTGTGACATGACGGTGACTTTATCTCTGTATGTGTTCTGGATGCTCGTGATGATGATGCTGGTTGAATCACTGCTGCTCTGTGTCTTCCAGGTGGGCGTGGGTGTTACAGGACGCCCTGGGGATCGCCTTCTGTCTCTACATGCTCAAAACAGTCAGACTACCCACATTCAAGGTGGGCTGGAAATCTAATGCACATAAACTATTACAGATATAAAGTTAAAATGTGTTTGTGAAGGATTTCATGGTTAGTTGTGAACTAATTTCATGTATTTGGTTTCTACCCTCTGCAGGCTTGCACTTTACTACTGTCTGTCCTTTTCGTCTATGATGTTTTCTTCGTATTTATTACACCCTTATTTACAAAGGTACGTCGAGACATTTTTCTCTCCAACTTAAAACTTATTCAGACGTCTTCAGTCTCTGTCACTGCATCGTGCTCACGTCACCACGTCCTTCTCTCCACAGAGTGGGGAAAGTATAATGGTGGAGGTAGCGGCTGGTCCCTCCGACTCCTCTACTCATGAAAAGGTGAGCTTGTTTTCAAATTCCACAACTCCCCCTGCGGTGGGATGCGGTGTAGTGTACGAACAGAAACATAACACATTAACCACCGCTCCTCCTGCTCTAAATGGCTCCTCTCAGCTCAGAGGAAAAAGGGGTTGATTGTAACACTTATGCTTTTGTTTTTTTTCTGCAGCTCCCCATGGTGCTCAAAGTGCCGAGGTTAAACTTCTCTCCCCTGGCTCTTTGTGACCGGCCCTTCTCTCTCCTGGGCTTTGGCGATGTCTTAGTACCAGGTAATTAAAAGTATCATCACTTCACAAGACACTCAAACAGCTCAGAGATCATATTGTTGTTTTTGTCACCAGCAGAAAATTATACAACCACATTTGACTCATTTGATCTATTCTTGGAGTGTAACACATTCATATAGTCGCTATGTGAGCACAGAAGTAGTCAACAACCACAAAGGCTGCGTATTTAAAGTTATATAATTACACTTTACAAGTTTTAATTCCCATAAATTCATATCTGAACCATTATGTCACTTAGTTTATCTAATACATTATAAAAAACATGTTAATATCAGATTATGTGCAATGTGATGAGACTTCCTCATATAATGTAAGAGTCTTTGTTTTCTCCCGTCAGGTCTGTTGGTGGCGTACTGTCACAGGTTTGACATTTTAACACAGTCCTCCAGGATCTACTTTGTGTCCTGTACTATCGGTACGTACACTGATGGGGGGGGAGGTGCCTGTTGTAATTGGTGAAATGTTTCCTTGCTGGTATGATGAACTCCGTTCAGATGGGATTAACTGTAAAGGGGGAGATAGGGAATAAAACATTTTAACCCCGGTGATATTACAGGTCTGTTGTAGACGAGACAAACTGCAGAACCAGCGAAGAGAGATTCCTAATGCAGACCTCACTTTACTGATGCCGTCATTTTTTTCTTTCAAACTTCAGAGCAAAGTAAACGTCAGGTCCTAATAACTTCTGATTAGTGTTGATGTTTACTGTTAAAGTGTAATGTGAGCGCAGGTCAGCGTAACCGATTAACGTAACCGATAGTAGGAAAGTATGAACTGAATTAACCCACATGAGCAAAATTAGGTCGTTAAGGTTATAAATGTTGGTTTCGATACATTTTTGATTAATTGCCAAGCTCTAACTCACATCCGTCGCTTCAGGGTGTATTTGAATTTACATTAGGCCCAATGAGTTTACTGAAAATAATATGTCATTGCTGAGGTGATATTTTAATCCCCGCATCACCACCCCAGAGAAATCATCCTCTCCAAATGGAGCTTTTGGTTTCGGGAAAACATTGACCCTCTGTTGTTGTCTGACTGTCTCTCTCCCTCTCTCCCTCTCCCACCAGCCTATGGCATTGGCCTGCTGATCACCTTCGTGGCGCTCGCCGTGATGCAGATGGGTCAGCCCGCCCTGCTCTACCTGGTGCCTTGCACTCTGCTCACCAGCCTCAGTGTAGCGCTGTGGCGCAGGGAGTTGCCCCAGTTCTGGACTGGAAGTGGATTTGTGGTGAATACCAGTTTGATATGACTGCCTACTGCCGAAGAACAAAAAGACTTTAAAAAACAGAAAACAAACCCCCCCAAAAAAAGAAACCTAGTGTTAAATAACAAGCAGAGTAAAGTGAATTTCAAGTTGAGTAACTCCTTTAAATGATTCCATTCGTTCCATCTGCCTCTTTCTGTTGTGCTGTCCCTTCCCTCCCATCGCTGCTCCTTCATTTTACTGTGGGTGTGCATTAGTCTGCTGCTGAGGGCTCAGCTGTCTGTGAATGTCATCGCAGGTATTCTTCTGTCTGGGCTTCTCCTTCACACTTCACCATTAAATCCTCCCCATCCCACTAAGGACTCATTTTACTGTTGTTTTCTGTGTGTGTGTATGTGTGTGTGCAAATCTTGGTGACTATTGAGCAAACTGCAAGATCACTGGTGGTGTGGATGGTGGTGTGGACTGGTTTGTTATTTGATATTGATTAGCATGTGGTTTCTGATCACTTTAACGGGCCTCAAACCTGCTGTGGGTTGATTTGGATAAACCTTTGTTTCCATGACGTACATCTGAGACTGTTCCATCTCTGACAACAACATAGAATTATGAATCTGTTAACGAAAGATTTGAAGAATAATAAGATATCTGTGGACAGAGGAATGACTATAGTCTCTGGATGTGTGTCTAACCTTCCTCTGTATCTGTAATTATCATGAACTTAAGTTTTCCTCCCGAAACGTTTCATTCATCTCACACTGCTTCTGTTTTTTTTGTCCCTTGCAGCCGGCCATAATGCTCGCACCGATCAACTGCACGCAAACTGCAGAGCCGCAGACAGAAGGACCCTCGACTAAACCGGAGCCGCAAACATCAGAATCTGCCGCTCAGAGCGAAGACACGCCCCATCACCCGCCTCAGGAAACGCCCCCGCCTGAGAACGACGAAGACAAAGACAAATCTAACTGAAAGGACTTCCAGTACGGCATTTTCCACTTCATTTCATGTTTTATTTGTTGTCGATTTTTTTTTTCTACATAGTATTTCAGTCAGTGGACATTTTAAGTACTTGCACTTGGTGTCAGGGGACGAGCAGATGAGGTCAGTGGACAAACACACACGCACACACAGTCGAGGCATTGAAACTGACAAACACACCAAGTATAAAACCTGCACAGCAGCACCAAGACCCTCCTCTACTACATAATGTCCCATCTGTATCAGTGGTGGAACGTACATTTACTCAAGTAGTCTTTTCACTTCAGTTGTAATATTTTCTACTTGAGGCAGATATTCAACTTTTGACTCCACTATGTAGTTTAAAACTCTAAAAACAAGAGAGATCTTAGGTTTGGAACCCTCGGACCAAACACGCTAACTTTCTATGACGTAGAAAATATTTAGCAGCTATTTTGATGATTCAGTTTCAGGGGATTTAGCTTCACTTTTAAGGAGCTGTCATGTTGTCCATCTTTATAAGTAATATATGAAATAAAAAGTGATGGAAGTAGTTATGTTACACACTGCAATCGCCACCTGAAGTGATTCAGGACATTTTGTTATAAAAACTGTTGGACACAGTCGGCTTAAATCTGACGGCTGAAAATGTTTTTATGGAAACATTTTCAAGCACTTCATCAGAAATGTACTGATTATTATTATTATTGTTTTCTAAATGATTTCAGAATTAATACTTTGATTTGTCTTTATTCCTCTGATACATTATAACCTGTCAGAATATAAAGCACAGCAGTGATGACTGAAGACGCTCATCACCTGTTTGAACGTGACCCCATCTTGGTTGTTGACTGAGCCAAAATGATTCAATATCATTGTTGATGTTTTCACGTTTGTTTTTGTATATTTTTTGTTTTGCATGTTATGATTTGACCTTTTTATAAAAAGCAGTGTATAATCTGTAATATGGGCTTTGTATGCATTATCGGGGGCGCCAAATGTTGGCCACCGCGATTTTTATTCCCCGAGTAGTTCCTCCAACTGTCTTAAGAACTGGTTTTGGCCTTACAGTGTCCGTTAGGAGAGGTGGAATGTGTAAAAGTTGCTTTATGACAAACACGGGTGCTGTTCTCTAAACAATGACGAGCGAGCGACAGGTTGTGTTACCAATGTTCCTAGTTCAGTTCAAAAGAAGCATTTGCACAATATTTTTTTAATTTGTGTGCCGACATAAGTTGTTGGTTTATGTCTGTAAATGATGTTTAAAGAAATGGAAACCAAGGTATCAGTAAATCTAATATTCATCCTGAACACCAGAGCCCTGCAGCCGCTTCACCCTGTACACCGGTGTGTGAGAGTCGAGGGTTAAAGGCCAGAGGTCAGATGGGAGCACCTTCGTGGTCGTTAGCCCTCGCTGTGTTTTTACAGGATGAGATTATTCACTGGTACAGCTTGTTGTCACCAAGTGGTTTTTAAAGCCTCTGTTGAGGAAAACATATAATAAACAAACATTGTATTTGAGATGTGGTGTGATTAGTTTTTGTTGCACAGTATCACACAGAGCTTCAGACGTCCCTGATTTGCAGGTTTTAAGATTTGTTTCAGCTTCACTCAGGATTCAGTCTGTGCTTTACTCAGACGTTGATGCCTCTGAATCTGAATGTGTCTTTTCATTGTGTGTCTGGCCGAGACCGTCTGACAAAGAGCCTCAGTTTCCTGGACTCAGTGAGTCAAAGTGAGGGACTGTGGGCTTCTACTCACTCTGGGTCACTGATCTGATCAGCTCACAATCAAACCTCCCGGTGCAAAGTTTGTACCTTGGTCCTGCTCTGATTTCCAGTCCTGAAGTCAGGACTCTTCTCTCGCATGCACAGTAAATTATGGCCATTAATACGGATTAAACGAGAATAAGAAGTAAAGCCTGAATAAAGTTCTCAACTGGACTTCAATGAGTGGTTGGATATTTGGCCGACAGCCGGCCGCTCTCCCCCACATTAATTGGTGCATTGCAGCTAAACTTGACATCTTCCCACAACCTATTGATCGGTGGGATAATGTGGCACTATGGGTAATAAGACTATCAACCTGCACAGTGTAACCAGAGGTCAACAACCCCACAGGGAAAATAAAATGTTTCCATACATGATTTGTCACAACCTCATTTTGCGAGACCTATTTTCACAGTATGAGGTTCAGGGCTGCAAGCACATATCACATGGGCATCACCTGTTTGAATACAGACTTTAAAAGACCTGGGTTTGTAAAAAACAAACATACTTAATCATTTCAGGTTTTCTTCAGCCACACAAAGTAAATCCACAAAAACACTGGAAGTTGTCATCCCCTTCTTTTTATTCTGTGACTTAGTTGGGATTTGGGGGATGATGAGGTGACAGCGGTCAGTGCGTCACCACAGAAAATTATCAACAAAGTTAATGTTAAATGATGTCGGGACATTGTTTAAAGGTTCAGTGTGTAGAATTTAGTGACATCTAGTGGTGTAGTTGCATATAGCAGCTGAAAACCCCTCACCTCACCCTCCACTTCCAAACATGACAGAGAACCTGTGGTAGACTTCAGTCGTCATAAAAACTCAAAAGGTTTTTAGTTTGTCCAGTTTGGACGACTGTAAAAAAATCATGGCGGCCTCCGTAGAGAGGACCCGCTACCGATGTAAAAAAAAAAAAAAAAAAAGTAAATATAAACGGCTCATTCTAGAATAAAGAAAACAACAATTACAATTTAGATGAAACAGTGAAAACATCACTAGGATTATTTTATATTCAATTTTTGCTGATAGATCCCTTTCACCTAAATCTTACACACTGAACCTTGAACAGTCGTCTGGTTGTGAACCTGAAACTCTCCTGCTAACGCTCTCACTGTGTCCACTCAGGAAACAAACTCACAAACTCCTCCTTCACTTTTCTTCATTTATACAAAGTATAACTTTACAACCAGACTCCAGCTTTTTACACAAACCCTGTTAATTTACCATCAAACGTCAAAGTGTTTTGATTCTTTCTGAAACTAAATTACGTGCTTGGCACTTCAGATCTAAACAGATGTAAACTTATTGAGTCTATAGCTTCTTCACATCGTATTCGTCATTCATTAAATTAAAAAGAAAAGCGTATAAGTTAAGACACGAGTGCTAAAAGGTTACAGACCGACCTACTTTCATTTAAAATAAAAAAAATGATAAAAAGATACTTAGGAAAGTTTCAGCAACAGCTTTAAAAAAAAATCATAAAATTGTTCCTGAATGTACAATTGGGCCTCTGTTTTTTTTTCTTCTTCTAATAAACCATGTCCATCATATTTCTCTTTTCAATGTTCAGCTGATTCTTCTCGTGTCCAGTGACTGGCCTCTTCGTACTGGTCACATGTGGACACAAGATCCTGAAGTCACATGAAGTTTCTTTTCACAGCTCCATCGTTCTTTCCATGATTTTTTTTTTTCATGTCTTTATCCTGGACGAGCCCTCGGCTCCACTCTTTCTGTGGTTTGTGATTAAAGGAAGATCACCTTCTCTTTGCCTGCTTCAAGAACCTCTTTGGGGAAAGGAGGTGGTGCTGGAGGAGGACCATCGCTGCTGCTCTTCTTCTGTGTGCTGAACGACTGAGACGTCTTCACATTGTGTCCAGATCCTGGAGGTTTGAAGGTGTCTGAAGGGATGAGGAAAAAAATTAGGAGAGCTACAGTACGTGCCTGTGGAATAACAGCAAAGTGAGAGGGTTTCAATCATCTGGCGTTTGTGTTTTTGATGTTATGACTGATGTTTCTCTACAGTCTGTACCCGACTGGTAGATTCTCTGAGGGCTGGCGGTCCTCATGGCTCTCATGCTGCCTCCTTCCTTCCCCGTCACTCGGATGGGCAGCACCTGGTTCACATCTATAGAGGCTGTAGATGTACAAAGACATATTTTATTCATTTCCTGTTTATTCATGATACATTTTTGACGTGGTTTTAAAATCCCATGCGATGATGTTACATAAACACCAACAAGAATTGGAGGTATTTGAATTTTGTGCTAACAACTGGGCCACAACTCCACTGCTGATAAACAATGACTGAGACATTAAGTTTTTTCTCTAGTTTGCCTTTCATGAAGAATTTAAAACACCAGCATTGGGCCGCAACACTATAAGCTCTTGAATCTCGTTGACGTCAGCATCTTCTACATGTACTGTATGACAACTGGTTTTCATCCTGAGATATTTCCTGTGTTACAAACATCAACACAATCACTTGCTATGATTTTTTTTCTATCTAACTATGAGGCTGGCACGAAAAGTTCCAGAAAACGTCCAAAGCAACTAAGTCGGACACGGCTTTCTTACATAAAGCCCCAATATCAGCAGACTGTTTAAATGGATAAATGGTAAAGACCAGATTTGTCTGAAGAACATTAGAAACATAAAGGAAAACAAGGAGAAAATACACAAATGTCCGAAGTAAACTTGATGCTTGTACTATGAAGACATAATGTTGACTGTGTGTTGACCTGCGCTGTGTGTTCTCTGGTGAGACCCTTTGCTCTTGGAGCCCTTGTCCTTCCCCTTGGACAGAGTGGCCAGCTTGGTGGGGATCTGCTGCTGCACGACGGGGGGTTTGAGCACCTGGTTGGTGGTGCTGATCAGGTGGATGGGCAGCTCCGATTTGGCTGCTTGGGGGTTGATGCTCCCTTTGCGCGGTGGAACCTTCGGAGGAACTTCCATGGGACTGGAGGCGAGCAAGATGCTGGGCTTTGGAGTCAGGGTCACACGCCCACTTCCGTTCAATATGCTTCTGAATGACGGGTAACTGTAGAGACCCTGGTGTTGGAAAGAGAAAATGAATAAGTGAACTCGTCTCACCTTTGACTTCTAATATTGATAAATATTCAGAGAATCTGATTTTTTACTTGTGCGGGATCATCATAGTGTCCTGAGTATGGAAGCTGCGTTAACTTTGACTTCAACTTCTCCTGAAACTGCTCCAAACGCTCCCTCTCCTGTGTCAGACGCTCGCGCTCCTTTTCCACTGATTGCGTCGACTCCCTCAGCCGCTCCAGGTCCTGCTGGTAGTTCTCCCACTGCCTCTCCAGCTCGCCCTTCTCCCCACTCAGCTTCTCCTCCCACTTGCTGCACTCCTCCTCCCTCTGCTGCAGCTGATCCTCCAGAGCCTCAATCTGAATCCTTTGCCGCTCCCTGTCCTTCTCCCAACGCTGCTGCTCCTCTCGATGCTGCGTCTGCAGCTTGTGCAGGTTGGCGAGCTCCTCCCTCTGCTTCTCCAGGCTGCGCTGTTTCTCTCGCTCAAGCAGCACGTTGCTGTAATGGCGAGAGGGCTGCTGGCTGTTTGACTGAAAAACACGCTGCAGCTCAAGCTGGCTGGTCTGTTGCGCTATGATTGCCTGCATATTGAATATAAACAAACATAAGAAAACTTGTGATATTATTTTCAGAAATGCAAACATTTAACGTCATGAAGACAGCCAAGAGCAAAATATCATGTCACTACTGTTTTTAGCAGTGTGTTACCTGTAAGCTGTGGAGCATCTGTGCAAGTGATATGACCCTGTCACACACCTACAAAAGTATAAGAGTAAGTGACATACATCAGCATGGATACAGATTGAAGAGAAGAAACTTAATTAAAGTATTAGAAGAGTTACCTCTGCTCCAGGGAAGTGACTGGACGCTGAGTTCAAGTCTGGCTCAGGGAGTGTGTCGTCATCAGCCTGGAATGAAATTAAAACAGGAATCATAAATACTTCTTTTTTTTTTTAATCACCAGATGGAGGCATGGTTGAGATTGTTTACTCTTGTCTCCCTCACAGACTGTTCCAGGCCTTCAGAGTACAGGATTTCCTGGAGCTGAGGAGTGCTGCTGCTGCGATTGACGTACACAGCACTGCCCTCTGCGCTGCCAGGCCTCTCAGCCACATCTCCACCTGAGGATAGTACAGCACACACATCCAAAGTCGCTCAACTCAATCACAACATCTGTGCGTTATTATTTACACAATAATGTATAACTACCAGCTCTCTCTCTCTACCTTGAAATATTAGGATTTTTCTCATTAAATTATGATTTTGTTCTCTTTAATATGGACCTAACATCATTATTAATAAAAGAACTTAACACAACGCACTGTTCATGATGTCTGCATAGGAGTCGCCGTCGCCAGCTGCAAAGGTCTCGGCCCGCCTCAGGAGCCCTCCCTGCATCTTAGTCTCGTCTACTGGAGGGTTTGGGTCTTTTATTCTTGCGCAGAGCAGGTTCTGCAGGTTTTCCACTACAAGACAAAAGAAAAAGCTTCTTAATCTCATCTTGAAAAGACATTGTCAGTGCTCTGAGTCATGACTTGATGAGGAGGAAAAACAGACGTGAGAACATTTTACTGTAACTTCAGGTTTTCATGGCTTCTCAATGCAAAAACACCTGATGCTGAAAACCGCCTCATTGTTACAGCCATGAGAAACAAAACGAGCTAGAGTAGAAACTAATGTCTCTTCCTTACCCTCATGAATGGCT